TTTGTAAGATATTGAAACGTTCCGCATGATTTTTTCCCTTCAACGAAAAGTTGAATAATTTTTTATTAGGATAATTAATATTTTTATTAAGGGATATAGCTTATTTCATTGTAATTTTTTTCTCTTGAAAATATAAGATAAAATATCATTAATTATACTTTGATTTTCAGAATTTTTTGTTTTTTGTATTCTTTTATGTTATATATTGCTCATTTCACAGTTTTTAAGATATTGAAAAGTTTTGAGTGATTTTTTTAGGAAATAAAGTTCTTAACCTCCTTTATACCATTTGAGTTCTTAAGATTTTGCAAAGGGAAGTTGGTTAATTTATTTATTAGGATAATTAATATTTGTATTAAAGGATATTGTTTATTTCTTTGTAATTTTGTTATACGTAGTAACTTTTTTTTATGAAGTTGTTCTGCAGAGTAAAATTCTACGCAGTTTTTAAATTTAACATTTGGTGTTCCCTTCAGCCATTTTTCCGGTACATTTAAAAGCCAGACGAAGGCTGGCAGCGAAGCTCCTAGTTAAAAATGAAAATTATTTTCTTCGAAATCTTTTCTCAACTTATATCCTTTCATACGTTGTTATAATAATAATTCATGTGCACACAATAAAGTTCGTTCGAATACAAAAAATTGTTTTTGATTACATTTTTATTTCGGCACAACAGATGTAAACGGTTAAAAAAACGCAGTTTCTTTTTCAGAATATTTTTTTCAGCATAAATCATCTACTTTTTTCTTGTATGTGTGAGGGCCAATAAGGGCCCGAGCGATAAAGTCGCTGAACACTGGTAGTTTTGTGCGGGGCTCGAATCTCGGTGGACGGACTGGCTGCATGAACGTTTTCGTAGTTTTTTCCATGTGTAACGTGTATGCGAGCCAGTTTCCCTTAGAAAGTCCCTCCACGAAGGCACCCCTCCTCTTAAGACAGCTCTAGTGTGCTCTAGTGTGCTCCTCTTAAGACAGCTCTAGTGTAACAAACCAAACCAACTAGTATGTGTGTGCGCGCCGAACGCACATATGATGACTTTTTTTCAAGTGTTTTTAAGTTTAACAACAGTTTACACTGAGCAGCGAATTACTAAAAATTTTCTTAAATGAATAAAACTGTGCTTATTGCATTATGAAATAGTACTGATTGACAAATTTTGAGCTTTCTGTTATCCCTAAAAAAAGGTAACACAAATATTTTCTTACCTTTTAAACATTTCTTTTTTTCTTGATTCCTACTTCATTTGTATATTTGCAAATGTGTGTATCGATGTTTGGTACATAGTTGACATTTGCTATGTAATGTTCCCTATGTCAAGAAATGTGCCTCTCAAGAACGACTTTTTGAAAGGGGGGTTGAATTGGGGGAAAGTCCCCCGTCCGTGAGTAGGGGTATTGATGAGGGGGGGTGTTGAAAAGCAGTGGACGAAATGGGAAATAAATTGTCAGTAGGGGTGTCTAAAGAGGGGATGAGGGATAGCAGCGAATAAACCGGTACGATTTTAATCACAGGAGGAAACCGGGAAATCTTCGTCTTAATTGGGGATGTGGATGAAATTACAATTTCGCAAGAACTAAAGCTCAGCCGAGCATTTGCTAAATTTAGGCTCTGAATGAGCAAATAATATAATGACTCAAAGGATGATAGAAACAAAGACCATGATTTTTACGGCATACCAATGAAGAAAGGAAAACAATCAAAGCTCCACTAATGAGAATATAGAGAATGCTGGAAATAGTACTAGAGTGTGGATGGAAATTTGGTTACGTAGTCCTTTCGACCAATTCTCCCCCATTGTCCTAATCTCAGCCCCATGTGCTAGATGCAGAGAGAGAGAGATGGAAGATTTTTTTAACTCTATCTAAGTCTTCATTACTTCTGTTTTCTTATCTTTAACTTATTCTGATATCTACAGTTAGTAAACTATTTTTTTAAATGAGTTTCATTATTGTTAAAATGCCTTCTTTAGATTCTTGTATTTTTTATTATTATCTTTTAATTTTAAATCAGTTATTGCTTAATTTACATATTTTGATCATTTATTTACATATGTAAGCGATTTTAGATCATAAGCGTTGATAAGAAACACAACAATTCTTACAATAAATAAGAATAGTAACATCCTTTTCATATATAAAAATTTCCACATACATATAAAACAAAGTTTACTTTTATGCAATAACGAGGCATTATTTGTTTTTCATTCCCATATTCTCTCTATTCAATGTCAAACGCGATTACTGCAGAGTAATATTTCGAGAATGGTTATTATAGATACTTTTTGAGCTGGGGGAGAATTGAACTATTTGATTAGTGCAATGTAACATTTCCTGAATACCGAAAATTAGTCACTCACTGGGGAAAAAAAAATTACTAGACGAATATTATTTTGATTAAAGCCCTAAATAATAAGTTAGTATGCTAAAAATTTCTTTTCGTCTGCCTACATTTAAAGCAGAAATAGCTTAAAATTCCTTGCATCGAAAAAATTTGCATATTTTCATGCAAAGTAACTTAAGTAAAAGACTCGCAACTCGAGATTTTCCATATGCATAACGGGAAGATTATTCTCTTTCCGGTAAACAGCATTCTACGAATACAAATCTTCTGCTAGGCTGATAGTTTTCATGTATCCTGCAATTAATCAAAATTCAATCTTCCTCAAAGGTAGACACTCCAGTCAAAACTATTTTGCGCTAGTTCCCAATCAGATCCGCATTCGTCTTCTCAATTTATTTACTGTTATATCTTTATTCTTGAAATAAACGTAAGAAAACTTTGTCTGTTCAGGTAGTCATATCTAGAACGAGGTCGATCGTGAGCTACTAGTACATCATCACAACACTCTTAATAGCTCACATATAAATATTTTTTTAAGGTAATATAAAAAATAATATAATAATGAATACATGATTATATACTAAATTCAAATCATAACTCGAAAGTCGTGAGATAAACACAGCAGTTATATGACTTAAATGAATACAGAGTCGGCATTGCGCGACTCTCTACTCTACCAGCGTTCTTCTGTCCACTTGATATCTTTGCTTTGGTCTATACAGCCGAAGATTAATTTATTTGCGGCAGTAGTTAGAATTTTGGGCTAGCTTGTTAGCTAATTAATTTAGACTTATTTGTTATTTACTTAAGTTCTGATTTTGCGTTATTAGCACATTGTGTGCGGATGAACTTGTGAGGCCAAGTAGGCGAGCTTTGTTAAATTCTTCTTGTAAGTGAAAGGTTGATTTATGGCTTGGCAAGATATACCTGCATGCAATGAGTTAAACTACCAGTGCTCTACAGTATTATCCATTCAACTGCTGATGAACACTAATTATGAAAAATGGTAACAATTTGTCGGAGTCTGAAAGCTGTTTGTCTGTTTTATAGAACGATTTCCACTTTACTTTGCAGCAATATCTTTGGATAAAGTTACGATTACATGATGTATCATCATTGGTATTTTTTCATTTCAAAACTGATTTGGCAGTTGCATTTTCTTTCCTTTAGAAGAATTATTCATAGTAGTAGAATAACTATATAAATATGATTCTTTATAATTGCTTTTTTTCAAGCAGATTTAATAAACTATCATCATTCAATTCATTATACTATCTACTTTATCACAAATAGGTGCGTATTTGAGAATAACTATGCACTTAGTTACATAATTAACATTAATTTACTGCTTTACAATGGTTACACTAATGTTATGTTTTCAGAATATCTAATGTGTTAAATGGTCTAAAGTCTATTTTGCTTGGTTTAAGGTTGCTTTCTAAGAACCATTATAAAATTTAATTAATTTGTTAATAAATTGAGTGTGAAATATTAAATTAATACAAAACTACTTATTTGTACATAAGAAACAAATACTTGAAATATTCTTACTTCAGGTTGTATTTTGTGATTATACATATGACACCGTGTGCAAAATATAATATCTCTGCTGAAAATTTCTAAGAACAAACATAGAATACTATTATGAAAGTTGGTAAAGATAACATATGAAACCTTTATTCTCCTAAAAAGTACAGCAACAAATTTTTTAATAGAATGCTATATTATTTTACACACTGTAAATTTAGAAATAATTATATATAATGTTTAAAATATATAAAGAACATACATGACAGGCAATGTATTCATAGATTGGTTGTTATATAAAATAGTTAATGTGCATGTTACCTTGCTTATTTTAAATTTTATAAAATTATTTTAAAAAAATCTTTCGCGGAGCCGGATTGATAGTCCTGAAAAAACATGCAATGAACATTTTTGTTTTGTTTTATTTTTTGAGATACAACACCGTAAACAACATACACTAATTTATTTACAAATGCATTTCTTTCTTTTGATCTCCAGAATTTTATTACCCATTTCACATGAGTATTCTACAGATTTTTTATTCACTTCGGTATCTTTTCTGAGAATAAAATCTAGAAAATTATTACAGAAAATTATACATTATTAAGTCATTTATTTCTAAATAAAAATGATAATATCAACTCAGATACATAAAGAGGCATTTGAGTGAGAGACGAATAAAAACCAACCCCTTAACTTGTTGATATAAAAAAACTGCTCACCAAGAGTAGTCTCCGGCAGTGTCTTATTCTGACTGGGTCAGTTTCTTCAATTACCGGTTGGTTTTAGCAAACTTTGTACATATAAATATTACATATTATACATATTTTACACATTTCTGTATTTTGAACTATTCTTGTTTTGTTATTCTTATTCAGATCCCTTTTTATGTTGGCCTATTGATAAATCAATGATTATGATTATAATATATGATATGTAAAGCATTATGTTTGTTCAGGTCGATCATAACAATTCCTAACATTGTTTTAAATGACATTCGATTCGACAACATTAGGAAAATTATATATGGACATTAAAAATTAAAAAAACTATGAAACATTTTATGCACATTTTAAAAAACTTACAAAAATAATTAAATTAAGCATTACAGAAAGAACAATTTCATATTATTTTTAGCGAAGTAATCTTTTGTTCATGTTTAAAAATAAAACTTTTTCCATTCGTTTTGGTTGAATGGAACAACGTTTTTCACTTTGTATTTGCCCCGATTTCGAAAACGTTCTTTCGGATGGTCCCGAGGTAGCCATGATCGATAAATATTTCTCTGCTAAAATTGAAAGTTCGGGGTAGAGTAATGCCCGCGCCTGCCACCATTTTAATGGGCACTCATTCCTAGAAAGAATGCGTTCCTCAAAATATTGCCTCATAGTGACGATGCTGGATACAGTTGAGTTTGAGACGGAGTTTGATGTCACTCTTGCATCAAAGTCTTTCCATATTGAGTCCTCGTTAGTGTCAGTGAATATTGCTGGCGTGACTTTATTTGATTGCACTGTCTGCTGTTTGTCAACATTAAAATATTTTTCAAGTTCAGTTTTCAGCAGAGTTTTAGCACACTCATAATTTGATTCATCAGCTAGTCTGAATGCCAACTTCTTAAACCGCGGGTCTAATAGTGCTGCTTTAGATAATATTGGGTTTCTATAACAATTTTTGAACCTGTATTTGAATTCTGTTATTATTTTATTAGATAGATTTTTTCCAATTTCTGTATTAATATTTAAATTTAAATTTTCAAACATGCTAATTACACTTTCAGTCGCAGCTAAGACCATTGAAACAGTAACCTTATTTTCAGACGACATTTCTTCGGTTAGCTGCTTAAATGGTCTTAAAATTTTAATTACATCTGGAAGAGCCTGCCAGTCACTTTCTGACAGATTTGCAACTGGATTGTGTAGGAGTCCAAGGGCCGCTTCTAGAGGCTCCTGAAGGATACACATTCTTTCTAGCATATCCAGGGTGCTGTTCCATCTGGTCACTATGTCCATTTTTAATTTAAGAGGCTTTTCGCCAGGCCTCAGCTGCTTTTGCACCTCAGCAAATTTTTTCGTTGCCAACGGACTTCTGTGAAAATGCTCCACGATGGTTTTTATTTTTTTTTATGAGGCAATCTAGTTCAGCGCCCTGAAGTCCCGCACGCACAATTAAATTAAGCGTATGCGCGACACAAGGCAAATGTTCAAAATTGGCCAACCGTATGGCTGCTTTCATATTTGCTGCATTGTCTGTTACGCAGACAAATATTTTATTTTGTAAATTCCAATGGGACAGCAAGTTACATAATTCCTTCTTTATATATTCGGCTGTATGTCGCTCATGACATTCAAAACAGCCCAATAGTGCATACTTCAGCTCCCAATTTAATATATAATGGGCAGTAACGGCCTGATGTGAAGTCGCTGCTCGCGAAGTCCAAGCATCGGTCGTAATTGATACAAAGTTTGCACTCTGCAATTCTTCTTTTAATCTGCTTTGGACTTCAAGGTACTGAGCGTCCAGGAAGGTATTACTAAATGTGTACCTTGAAGGTAATTTGTAACCAGGTTCTAAATAATTAATTAGCTCTTTAAAACCAGTATCTTCAACGACAGAAAAAGGCTGTAGGTCTTTGACTATCATATTAAAAATTAAGTCATTTATTTTTTTTTCCCGTACTACACTTACGGGGCGTTTAAGGAAAGTACTCAGCGTCGTTTGTTTTAAATTTGTTTGAGATATCAGTTCTATTGAATGATTAATATGTTCAGTACTTGCTGCTGATGTTGATGACACAGGAACTTCTTGAATTATTGTATCCGACATGGAGCATAGAATGACGTTTTCGTAAGTTGACCTGTGTTTTTTTATGAGGTGTTTTTTTAAATTTGTTGTTGAGCCACCTTTTACTGAATATAGCGAGTGGCAAATATCACATTTTGCCTTCTCATCGGTAGCCTGTGTAAAAAACCTCCATAGCCGACTTCTCTTCCTATCCATTATAGATTGCACTGTAACATAAAATAATAAAAGCTCGTTAAAAATGTTAGTGAAAATAAGTATCAAATATAAATAATAAATGCAGTCTATATAAGTTGAAATCAGTAAAATCTCATTCAGTCAGTCTTAAAATAAATTACTTATATTTGCATAATGAAACTCAGAATCGTAAGAAGTGAACGTGCGCCAAGCTATATATTGGCTAGAGACTGAAGGTCGTAAGATCGATCCTCAATTTGACTACCTGTATCTTGTATAGGCCTTACACCTACCTTGTACTTGAGCCAACGGTCTCCATCACTCAATATTTTCTCTTTCAGATACTGTATTAAATTATGTTCCTATTATTATTGCTAAAATAGGTAAGCCTGATGATATTTAGGCCTGATAACGAGTCTATGTAAGTTATTTTTTTAACACTTCGATTTGAAATGTCTGTGAAGATTATTAATTTAATCTTCGTTATACTTAAGCAAAATTTTTTTGAATAGTATTATTATTTATATTTTTAATTACGATTGTATATACTTTCTAACATCCCTTCAGGAAGCTATTAAAATTTTATTCAAAAATAGTCTATCTGATAATTACTGTTTAACTTAAATTAAAATCTTAAAATCTAGAATATTTCCTTACGTTGATACCGATATTTAATGACAACAGTATTACACTTAAGGAAATACATCTTATTGGCTGGTACTGCGTGAGTCAGTAATGAAAATATGAATAAGCATCTAATTTCTTCCATGTAATCTTTAAAGTAATTTTTAAGAGCAATAATATTACTAAACTAATCTTAATTTTCATTTTACACAATAGTTTTGGTTCTAGACACAACACAATAAAAACTTTAACATATAACGTAACAAATTACTTTTATATGCCATCAGAAATTCATAAACCCTAATTTTTATTGATTACACACGATATTGATCCTTAAGCGTTTGTTTATATTTTACTTTCCTTTCAGCCATCATAAACTTCTCATTAGTTCAAAAACCGCTCTATTTTCCTTGACCATAAAATTTTCGTTACCTTGAGAAAACATATAATGACGTTTTCATTAACTAAGCACAGTTCAGGACAATAAACAAAGGCCCCATTCAGATTCCACTCACTGATAAGGAGAGTTCCCCCCCCCCCAGTGCAAAACCCATCTAGGTAAGAAAGGAAGGAACTCTGCACTACAAGTGAAGCACTGCTCCGAGGCTTCTTTCTCCAGATCGGGGGGGGGGGTGTTTACATTCAGAAGCTTCCTTGACAGCGCTTTGATAGTATTTCGACACACGACAGTTCCATACAAATCAAAAAACGGAACACTTTCGCATAAAATAAACATTCATTGTGTGATGGATAATAGCAATTTGTACAGTTTAATGACATTTAAGCAAAAATCACATCTTGGTTATTTTTCGATAACTAACAACAGCGATTTTGATTATAAATTTGTTTTATAAAATTGTAAGCTGTTGAAGTACAAAAATATAGATTTTAGCAAAAATGTTCTTCTTAAAGAATGTGTGTGTGCGATTATGGCAAAGCCTCGAGGGCTATCTGCCTAAGGGAAGGGATGCCTTCGTGGAGGACTTTCTAAGGGAAACTGGCTCGTATACACGTTACGCATGGGGAAAACCACGAAAACACCCATGCAGCCAGCCCATTCGCGGGATTCGAGCCTCGGACCGAACTACCACTGTTCAGCGACTTTTCCGCTCGTCCGCTGGTGGGCCTGCTTAAAGAATGAAAAATACCTTACGTTACCTTTAAAACTGTATACGCCTTCTGATACCCTTGATAGAGTATTCGCTGCTTTTATTTTACGCTCCAAACGCCAAATTTTTTTAAATAAAATAAACTTTTTTGTTATTCACATATCATTATAACGTGTACTTTTTAAAAATTTTTAGAGAACAGGCTTTATAGTTGCTCATTTTGAACTCATCATTTTATTTTTATATAATTGAAAAATAATCACTTTGGGTTTCGAAGAAAATCTGATCTTTGAGTGGGTATTAAAAATAACGCATGTAATTTTCATTCAAATTATATCTATACATATTTCTTATGTAAAAATTTCGGGTTTATGCTAAATTATTGTCAATTACTTTACTCGAAAAATATAGTGAATGCACAGAAGATTTATACATGCCGGAAATGAAAAATATGAAATATGTATGGGTATTTATGCAAATGCTTGCAAAATGCATGTATCTGCCTTTAACAAAATATTTTCTTTCTTAATACCATAAGCGCTTGAACTAATTTATCATTCCACTGAAGTAAAGTTTCACCCATTGAAAAGACGAATTGTCAGTAAAGACGGCACGCGAAAGCTGCTTGTTTGCAGATAAATAGCTTAATAATTTGATAAGCTGTAAAATTTAAACAGAACTATTGGCGTAGTATAGTCTGTTATTTTTTTATTACGGTTTAACGAATCTAGCAATAATATTATATTATGCATTCCGTTATTATTTAATCTATCCGTAATATGAAATATAAATTTTCTAAACATTAACGGTTTATCATCAGTTAATTTATAAAACCACAGATAGGTTTTATAGTGTCATTTTTTTTACCCACTTTAACGGTTTATCATTAGGTGGTTTTTTTTTTTTTTTTTTTTTTTTTAGTCCAAAGGGGATTTCAGTCCCGAAGGACTATTGCTTTCGTTTTGGCATTTTGCGTCGGACTCATAAACGTCGGTTCACTTTTCAAACTGTTGCCACAAAATGTTAGAGTCCTGCATTATATTTGAAGAAATTAAATAATGAAAATTCTGCATAAATGTATGTATATTTCTCGTATTGTGATAAAACAACGGTACATAGAGTCATCGAATTTTGAATAACGTAATCCTCCAACGAATATGAGCATGTGGAAGACCAAATTTGAAATTTGAAATTTGTTTTACGATCGATTTCCTATTTTTTAAAACTTTGACGAATTTTTGATTAACAAACTCAAGGATTTCAAAGCGAGCAATGGCAACGTTATATATAAAAAAAAAAAATACTTTTATCTCCAGCTCGCGAGACTGTGTATATCGGAAATTCTAAAGATATGCTTAATTTAACATTATTTTGCGATATTGCTCTTGAACTGAATTTTATGGTTTAAGTGCAAAGAAAATGATATTTAATAAATAAAGGTAACACTCAAAACGTTAAAAAAACGCCCCTTTGGACGTAATTTAAAATCTGAAAAATTTCAGATTTTTTTTTTTTTTTTAATATTTATCTATTATTATATATATCAGTATTCATTACTAAGTGTTTATTTTACTAATAAAAGTGAACATATTATAGGAGAAGATGAAAACTGCTCAGGAATCTACAGGATGAAAGTCTTAGTAAAACTAAATGGTTACTGGAATTCTATCAGATTGTAGAGACCTTAGGTTATTTTTTTTCTTTTCTTTTTTTTTTTTTTTTTAAGTCCAAAGAGACTTTGATCCTGGAGGACTATTCTTTTCGTTTTGCGATTTTGCGTTGAATCACTATAAACGGCGAATCACTTTTCAAACTGTTGCCACCAAATGTTAGAGTCCTGCATTATATTCGAAGAAATTAAATAATGAAAAATCTGCATAAATATATGCATATTTCTCGCATTGTGATAAAACAACGGTACATAGAGCCATCGAATTTTGAATGACGTAATCCTCCTGCGAATATGGGCATCTGGAAGCCCAAATTTGAAATTTGTTTTATTATCTATTTCATATTTTGTAAAACTTTAACGAATTTTTGATTAACAAAAAACTCAACGATTTAAAAGCGAGGAATGGCAACACTATACGAAAAAAAAATTATCTCCAGCGCGCGGAACTGTGTATCGGAAATTCTTCTAAAGATATGCTCTTTTTTAAATTCTTTTGCGACATTGCTATTTAAATGAATTTTATGGTTTAAGTGCAAAGAACATGATATTTAATAAATAAAGGTAGCACACAAAACGTTAAAAAAAAAAGCCCCCTTTGGACGTAGTTTAAAACCTGAAACCTTTAAGA